TAAATTTTTTTAATTCAGTTTCGTTTCTTTTTTTTCTTTTTTAATTTTACTCAATCATGAAACAGACGAAAAGATCAAGAGAAATGGAAAAAGTGGGATGGGATAGTGAGGCAACGAGAAAGGAGGGGGGTCTGGAAGGTAAGAAAAGGGTATCTTTCGGAAATCAACGACGAAAATTTAATTCAATGTCGGTAATACGGTCTTTCAACGTTGGAAACATCTGGACAACGTCGAGATAAGACAACGACGTTTCCTATACTCTTTCTCTCTCCCCCTCCCCTGCTGTCCCTCTCTTTCTTTTTGGAAAGTAGTGGCATGAGCAAAAACTTGTTAGCACCCGCAGTCGAAACTCTCGTGTTTTATTAGAAAAGTTGGAAAATTAGCTGAAAAACACGAGTGAGACGACGAAAACGACGACGACAGGGTCGTGCAACGATAGCTAAAAGATGGTAAAGAAGAGAGAGATAGAGAGAAAGAGAGAGAGAGAGAGAGAGAGAAAGAGAGATAGTATTGAGACGTAAAGGAATTAATCGAAAAAGGAAGAAGAAAAAAATACAGGAGAAAAAGAATAAGAATAGGGTAGAAGAAAAAGAGAAAATGGACGCGAAAAAGGAGTATCCAGTGACGTTCGTTCGAGCCTGAAAAGAGGATCATTACGCAAGTCTTTCGAGAAGAAATTTGATGAAGAACGAAAGCTACTTTCTATCTATCCTATATCTATACTCTTATACATATATACACAAACACATATATATGTATATATACATATATATTTATATAAATATATATATACATATGGCGTGGTGTAGCTCTTTAACCTGCCACCTATAAATTTGAAGTGATGTAAAATTGGAAAGAGAGGGAGAGAAAGGTAGAAAGATATTACCGTACTCTTTGGATAATAACTTCAAGCTTCGTGTTTTTCCAATCTTTCTCGTCTCCCGACGTTTCTTGAATGAAATAACAGGTTTCCAACCTTAGTCCAGGATCGTTTAACAAGAGAAAGATAAAAGAAGGCTTTCTTATATTCATCATTCGAGTTCGAGTTGATCTACAAACTTGGCAGATTCTCTCTCTCTTTCTCTCTCTCTCTCTCTCTCTTAAGATTCTCTCGAAGCTACTCCTTAGTCTGTCGAAGTCGTTATTACCCGGGATTCCGTCTAGAGTCAGAAGGTAATTTCACTTCCGAACACGCGACCAAAATTGGATCTTAGTTTCTACCTCTTGGTGTATTTAAGTACTTGCGCCCGTGCCATTTATATGTTTGTGTGTTTTTGAGTTTGTGTAAAACTCTTTATTCTTTTATTGAAATTAAAAATATATATATGTTTAAATTATTAAAAATCTTAATGTATTTACTCGTCTCATCGTATCTTACTTAAAAATACTATTTTTGGTGAATTTCTCTTTTGACGATACAACACGTTTCTGGAAAAAAAAGAAAAAAAAAAATATATATATATATATATATATATATATATATATATATATATATATACATATCTATAAAAAGAAAGAAATATAATTATAAAAATATGAATACAAATTCGATTGTACATATTTTTAAAGAATTAATTCCTTTTTACAAAATAAGGCAATTTGGAAGATAAAGAAAATACACGAAAAATGATCAGTTTGTTAAACTTTCTCTAAGAACTAAATTTTCCAATCGAATTGATTCTACGTTTTAAATTAATCTTGTTTTAAATATTCTTTGAGGATAATCTTGTTTTAAATATTATTAACGTGCATCTCTCCATTGTACACGGTACTTTCTCTTAAGGATCATATAACACCATTGGAAACAGTTAACCTTGGGAACCTATAGACTATTAACTAAACAAAACGCATAAATAAAAAACATATGGCCACCTTTGTCTGGGCTTAGGCATTCTTAGTAAAGTATCTGGGTTTCGATAATATGTCAACTCGCCCAATAAATAAATAATAAAAGTGGAAGCTTAGGCTCGATAAGCTAAGGGTTGTCTGGCGCCTAGCTTTGAAATATCCATTGACACCCTATAATCTTCAAGAGCACTAGAATAAAGGGGTACACATGGAATGTTTAAACATTCCAACGAACTATTTCCGACCAATAGGCATTTATTCTTTCCCTTTCTATAGGTCAAACTCCGCCCTTTACCAATCTCATTTAAGTTTACGGGGATAGTTCAAAATAGGTCAAAAGACAGTCAAGCTACATCTTTCAGACTTATAACATCTGAACAGTCAAGTTACATCGTTAAGATTTACAACGTCTATAAGCTCTCAAGCAATCAGTTCAGCTAACTACACATCATACACGAGACACACAAACAATTGTAACTCATCCAATCAAATACACGGTGAGATTTACATATCGCAATTACTTCTCCACTTCTCACGGGATCCTTTAAAGAACGCGCGTTCTCCCATTAATTTACAAAAACCCGACGAGCGGTATTTTGTTGATGGCCTACAACGGTATCCTAACCAAGTGCCACCGCCCTTATTCATCGCGACCAGTGGAAAACAAGGACGAGATAGGGGACATTTCCTCTGTGCGAATCGACTATCATCGCTGGTCCAGTGCGAGAAGCGCATTTTCAAAAACGCTCTCGTCAACAATCAACAAATATCCTTTCGAAATTTAAAATTAATCAAATAGAAAAATATAGTTTCGAATAAAACGCGTTTAATAATTACATACAAACAACCGCACTTAAAGATCTTATAACTCTTAAAGATCTTAATACTCCAAATTTTTATAGAATAATTTAGAAACATATTTCTCAGGATACGAACGTATAAAGAAACTGTAAAAAAGTTTTCAATTTTTTAAATCATCAATAACTTTTCTCATTAAGCATACTATTTTACACACAATATTGCGAGTAAGAGTAGATCTTATTAATTATGTATCGTTCTTAATTAAACGAGATTATTCATCGTTTATGTTTGATATTTAAAATACCAAAATCGATAATTATTGAAACGTTTCAATTCTTACGTATAAACAAAAGAAACGACAACAAAAAGCAAAACAAAGCAAAAAAAAAAACAAAGTTTTATCTTGATGTAAAGTCCTCGACAATTCGATTTATTTTAAAAAGAGAAACTTTTTCCGAAGCTACATCTCGGTCATTACGATAGAAAGAGAAAGAAAGAAAGAAAAAGAGAGAGGAAGAGAGACAGAGAGAGAAAATCCGTGTTTTCTTTGAATTCGAAAAATACAAAGATTTTCTTTTGTATCTACGCATCTCTTTTATTAGCGTTTGCTAGTCAAAGTAACTTATTTCTTCCTTTCCGTTCTCTATGAAGTACGATTCAGATTTTTTATCGATATTAATGACGTTGTAAAAAGGGTAAGAGACAAACTTGCCCTTCCATCTTTTCTAGAGAATCGTAAATACATTTCAATCCTTTGTATCCCTTAATGTATCTTTCTCCTACACTCTGACAGAGTATCATTTTGCTATAAGATCTCAAAGCGAAGAAATAAAATTTCTCTCTGTTTCTCTCTTTCTCTCTCCTTTCTAAAGTTCTTGTTTATGTTTCCGATTAGATTCGGGAGAGACCACAGGAGTTCCGCTATCGATGTTATCGATCGACGACGATATTGCTTCCATTGAGAAATTAAATATTGATGATATCGTCCTTTACGAGTTTCGAGTTTCGATTTCATTTCATTTTGAAAATGATATACGCTTTGCTGTAGAAAATTGTTCTTCTCTTCTTGCTTGTTCAGCTATGTAGGTGTATTTCTACGTTGAAGCACTATGACTCTCCTTAAAGTTACAACGAAAACGGAGATTGCACAATGCATGTATATACTTTTATATATATGTCATATATATATATATATATATATATATATATATATATATTATATTTATTACATTGAAACGTATTGTCTCCGATATTGTTCATAAAATAAACTTCGTAAGTACAAAAACTTGAAATCGATTATATGCGATTCAAAACTCGTATCTTTCTCTTTTCTATTATAAATAGAAAGAAAAAAAACAGTAGTACAATTATTTTTTACGTAATTAAGAACCGTAATCAAGTGATTATTTAATAGTATAAGTAAATTTAATTGAAATTTTGTTTCTTTAGGTCAATAATTAAATTAACTTAACCATTGAATATCAAGGTTCTCATAGATCGCGGAAAATATATTATTAAAAAGTTGTAAACGACGCGATAGCATTTGTTTTAGTTCATGTTAAAAAATGCCATGATGTGATAATACGATTTTTTTCTTTAACACATACAGATAGACCCGAGCTTATTGTCAATAGCCTAACGCGATTTAATGCTTTGATATTTTTCGACTATGAATGTGAACAGTATAGCGTAATTGCATTACGGGAATTCAAACGTTTAAGGAATCTTATTTTATTTCCATTCAACTTACCGATAATTATCAACTTTTTTTAAAGATAGTTCCATAGAAACAAATATAATTTTTACGTAGATGGAAATATGATTTCTGTAACACGTATTTATGTTTCTATATCCTATATTATACAGTCAATTGATAAATAACTCACTTCGAGTTATTGTAAAGACTAATATATAAAGACTACAATATATAATATACATATAATATTAATAAGTAATAATATATAATATTAATATTAATTATATATAATATACGATATTAATATCTAATATTAATATATACTATTAATCCGTCCTGATTGTATAATGGTTTACGTTAAAAACGAATCTAGGCGCGTAATTCTGAGCAAAGTTCATTCCAAAGATAAAGATTTAATTGAATATATGCCTTTTTGTAATTTTTGAAGGAGTTTTACTTCGTTAAAAAATAAAATATCATGTGAAAAAGTGATTTTGTTTTTCTGGAAAATATTTCATACATAAAAATAAATCTTTTTCAAAAATTCGAAAAAGGCTATGTCCTTGACATGGTTCGTTTGAACTCTTATTTTTAAAAAGAGATCCAGTTCATTAAAGTCGGTCAAGAATTACATATAGATTCTCTATTGACGTTAATGCTGTTTTCTACGTTTTTAGTAAAAAAATAAAAAGTTTCCTACGCATCCAAGGCATCCTACGAAATTTGTAGTAAAGAAGAAGCTCGTACCCAATATAAACGCTTGAACAATGTTGTTCGTTTCTGTGAAATAAACAGTTGCGAAACTAATTGTTAGATATTCTGATCCATTCCGAAAACAAGGAAACGCGTTTCGCGATGTTCACGAGAAAAGTTACAGTAACTCATTTGGGCATTCTAATGAACTTTCGACAGAAGATTCTACGGCAAAAATAGGAAAATATCTATTCAGCTGTTCGTGCCAATGGGGTCTATGTTTCTGAGATATTGTTAAATGTTAACAAATTTCGTAATAATTGTATATTTCATATACTAGAAAAGTTTTATAAATAATATTTAGCACAATAATATTGTGCTAATATTAGTATAGATTCGTAATGCAAAAGTCATAGGTTCGAAGCTGAATGATATCAATTTTTATTTATCGTATCGATGTAAACGAATATAAACAACTAATTTATTATTTATGCAATTAGATTTAAATTTTAAATTTTAATTATAATTAAAGTTAAAAAAACTAATTACTTATTAATTTGAAAACCACGTTATCATTATATTGGTTATCATAACATTATATTGGTTTTCTATATATAGATTTATATATACATATAATTATATATGTATATTAGTATTTATATAAATAAATATACATTTATATAAATACATATAAATACTAATAAATCGATTTTTATGACATGTAGATTAAAGAGTTTCTGTTGGATATTAAAAGATGTTTAAAAAATTTATTAATGATTGTTTAAATATAGAATAAAAGAAACAATATTTAAAGCTGGAAAAGTAAATTTAATGTATTTATTATTTTTTAAATTAAAAAAATTCTTTTAAAGATAAAACTGCTTATTTTACGCTGTTAAAAGTGCTATATATATTTCCTATATTGAAATCCAATCTCTTTTAGAAGTTCTTCCTTTTCCTTTTTTGATCATTAAAAAGATTTTACGTCATTTAATTACTTATATTTATTTCCTTCGTTATTTATGTATCCAATCTAACATATTTATTTCCTTTATCGATTATTGATGCGCGTTTCGCGGTAATTTGTGATAAATAAGACATAGAACCAGTACTATTTCGTTAGATGACAAACGCATACAAAGTATATAAAATTGCAAATAAGCATAGAAAATAATAAATATAATCCATACATACAGTAACTACTATATAAATTTCCCACAAAAATACAGTTTTTTGCCGATTATTTCGTAAAAAATAATAATTAATGAATATATACTTATATATTATATATTATTCTTATAAAAATCAAAATTTTGATTTCTCTTAAAATAATAATTGGTACATATATATTTAATATATCTAAACATTTATTAATTATTACCCTTTACAAAATATTCGACAACATCTTGTTTTTTTTATCGCGAATTTTTTTATTTTTATAAAAATAATTCTTAGTAAATATATTTAATATATATATATATATATATATATATATATATAAACATTTTAATATATATATATATATATATATATATAAAAGTATTTATAAATTATTATTCTATATAAAATATTTTTTATCTGAAATACTTCTTTACTTTATCTAATTACTTCTATATAAAATCTTGTTTATTGTCGTATATTTATATATTAGGTTAGTCCAAAAGTTCGTGCGCATTAGTAGCATGTATGTATGTAGCAAAATGCGCACGAACTTTTGGACTGACCTGATACTTTGCTATTATATATATATATATATATATTATATATATATATATATATATATATATATAATATATATATATATATATATTATATATATATATATATAATATATATATATATATATAATATGCTATGATATATATATATATATCAATTATATTTATTATATTATTCTCTATGTATTTTTATCGTAAAACAAATACATACATGCCAATGTATCCGGCACGGATCATTGCGAGACGCTCGCTACCTTTAAAGAAAGATATAAATATGGAAGATTGAAGTATTACTTCATAGATTACTAATACTACCACCTACTCTATCTACACTAACCCGAATATTATATTACAAACCAACACAAATTTATACACCGATACGATAGGCGCAGATATAGACATTGTTCCTCTCTTAGGGTTGTAGTTCATATTTCGTTTTTATTTGTCATTGAAGTCACACAAGCTTCGATAAAAAAGACGAACAACTTTCATATATAATTTATAAACAACAGCATATAACTTATCAACTTTTCACGAATTATTCTACCGTATTAATAAACAATATTTTTCGATTACTTCGACGAAACGAAAGTTACTCGATGGAATCTCATAAAGAATTTCTTGTTCCAATAAACGATAAAAATCTTTTCGACTTAAATACGAGTCTCATTCTCTCGAAGATTCTAAAATGACAGGGAGAAAAAGAGAAAAGAGAGAGAGAGAGAGAGAGAGAGAGAGAGAAATCGTCAAAAAGAAAAAGAATTGGAGCGCTCTGGTCGTTGCTTCATAACCACGAAAATCGTTGGACCATCATTTCCCGTCGTGATTCAAGAGGCAATCGTCTCGAAGCGACCGAATGAAATTGAATCTGGACCGATCGAAAGACAGAGGAAGAGACAAACAGATATATATATATATATATATATATATATATATATATATAGAGAGAGAGAGAGAGAGAGAGAGGGAGAGAGAGAGGAGAGAGAGAGAGAGAGAGAGAGAGAGAGAAAGAGAATGAACCGATGCATTGCTCTGGAGAGTCACTTGAACTTCGTACTAACGTCCTCTTTTTTTCCCCACTTCTTTTCTCTCTTTTACTCGCGTGTTTCCGGCATGCACTTCTGGCAAACGCGCGGTGTAATCGCGTGACTGATTTAATACGAAAGTACTCGTGTGTGTGGAGTAAAAGCCGAGAAAGAAAAAGAAGAGGAAGAGGAAGAAGATCGTGAAATTTAAAGAAAGAGAAACGAAAGAGTGATCGACGAACGAAACAAAAAAATGAAAGCTCTATATATATATATATATATATATATATATATATATATATATGTATATACACATATATATTGTGTGTCTGTTTTAGGGGTTGGAACGCGGACGATTTACTTTGCAAACGACGGAGAACTCGGTAAACTCCGAAGGCGCCCGCGATACGACGCTAGCTGTCTGAAAACTTGGCCAATAAGCGACGAAAACAAGAAAGAGGCAAATCTTCCTTCTTTACTTTCTTTCATATCTCTCTCTCTCTCTCTCTCTCTCTTTCTTTCTCCTTCATATAGAAGAGATTACATAAACGTAACAGAGAAAGACGTTAACTGCTTCAAAACAGACGAATATATTTTCGAAATCGACGACGGCATTTCCCCATCTTATCTTCCTCTATCTCTTTCTCTCTTTTTCTCTCTCTCTTGTCTTGTTCGAATCCTCTTTGTTGCTATCATTCTCGACACGTCCATCTCAGGCTGGGGACAATCGACGATTGAAGTCTAAGACAAAATGCTTCGTGACATTCGAAATGGTCGAAAAAGAAGGAACAAGAATAATGAAAGAGAGACAGAAAGAAAGAGAGAGAGAGAGAGTGATAAAGAGAGAGAGAGAGAGAGAGAGAGAGAGAGATAAAGAGAGAAAGCAATCTCGAGAGAATGGGTACCGAAGCGAATATCGACGGAAATGCTTCTTGCCGGAAAAGATGCAACAAGGATAAAGAAAGAAAAAGAGAAAGAGAAAGAGAAAAAGTAAGGTATAGAAAAGAAACGAGAAGAACGGAGGGCGAACTGAGTAAAGTCGATATAACGTGAGAATTATCGCCGCGAACTTTTTTTGGTAGAAGTTACGTTAGTCTCAATAAAGTTAAGTCAGTACTCTTCTCCCACTCTTACCTTCACCTCTACCTCCATCACCGGAAGTTCCTTAACTAGATTTACGATGCAAATAGAATCAGTGTTTCTGCTGCTCGTTTCGTCGTACTTTCGACCGTTTAAACGTTTCCACTTTTCTTTACCGCAGTTGCCCTCTTGAATTCGTCACCAACCCCTCACCCCCACTCCTCCTCATTCGTGTTCTCCTGTCACGTTGAGAAGAAGTATATTTGACGAAGCAATTAATTGATTTCCCGCTTGTTAGTAATAGTTTCCGTGACGATAATGTTGATCGTGTAGTATCGTAAGCAATCGCTTATAAGTACTTATAATTATTTACGTTTTACAAGTGAAACATATTATTCTCTAAACGTTGACGATTTTTGTAGAGGCCATTAACCCTGAATGAATTAATGCAATAGAATTTATCATAGAAAAGTTAAATTAAAAGTTTTTAATGAAATTCTTTTTATTTCGATTTTTTGTTTTTCTTTTCTCGTTATTAAGAACGACGAAAACAGAAGAATATTTGTTGGTTGTAAATAATCGATGAAGTAAATCGAGTTTTAATAAATCTATCCTCGATTAACAAATTATCACGTTGATGATCGATTCATATTTCATCGCTAAGAAGACGAGTGGAACGTGACGAGGAATTTATATTATCTACTGCGAACAGTTAGGAACGTCCTTGCAGAGTCTTTCTATGCATCAGCAAGCTCTCTCTCTCTCTCTCTCTCTCTCTCTCTCTCTCTTTCTCTCTTTCTCTCTTTCTCTCGCGTAAATGCATTCTGGATGAGAAAAGACGAATAATACCTATAGATTTTGTACTCGACACGAGCTCTATAAAAGTTTTCCCGATCGAATAGTCGGGAAACTCTACCATCAAAATTAACCGCAATTTCTATCGACTTAACGCCGAAATAAAGCTGGATTATAACAATGGACTTTAAATAATAATAAGTTCCCCTAACAACGTTCGAGATTCCAAGTTCTATAATAATTAAACTTTCATAATATCTTGACGATAAAGTCATGAAAATTTGATATCTCCTGCTAAAACGCAACCGATTCCGAAGAGTTTATTTAACACTTCGATAGCTGCTTCGATTATGC